TTGGTTTCGAAGTAAACAATTGTTTTTTTTGTTTTTCAAACATTTAGTTCTCGCTAAAAGTAATTTTTTGCCGTTGGTAGTGAACAGTGGAACCTTTGAGGTTTCCAGTTCCACTGTCGTTATAAATCGTGTTTCTTCGATTAGCCTTGTAACATCCTGACTTGTTGCACCACTTGCAAAAAAGTCTGTTTCATCGTCAACGTCGATGTATAAAATCCCTAAAAAATTGCAGCTAAATCTGTAAACAGCTAAGAAATCCGTCACTGGAAGTTATTTCTTAGACTGCTGGACAAGACGCCCACCTTGCAAAATTTTTCGCTATAAATTTCCTGCGACAAGTAGGAGCAGTGATCCATATCAACAAACTGATTTTTGACAAGAATTATCTAAGGTGAGAGAGATGAAAACGAGGTTTGTTATTACTGAATGAATCTTATAATCAAAAACAGGAGCATACAACTGGTAAACTGAAGGTATCAGCCACACACGGGCACAGGCACACACATGTCACACACAGATATACACACGCACACACATACACGGTCTTACCTTGACACTTTTATTACTAATAAGTGCAACCATACAAAAAGCCTAATGGTTACAAAGCGCATGAAAAAGGCCTAATTATTATAAAAACACTATTAGATTTGTTCACAAGAACACGTTAGCACCAAAAAGATTGATAGCGTAGGACAGTGGCTAGTGGCTTCGCCTACTGAATGCAATCGAACTAGCTTCGTAACCCACTGTAATTGATTTTTTCAGGATCTCCTGGATTAGGCCTCGATAAAAAATATGGAACAGTATGTTCCAAATTTTTCATCGGGAACCACTCCAGTAGAAAATTTGCAGCGATATTTGCAGCATGAATTTACACAGACCGCTTTCTGCATGCTGCTCAAGAAATCATCGGAAACGGCAGTCATGCTAAAGTGGTGAGCTACGGGTAGCAAGCATTAATATGATCCCTGCGCATTATAGACAAATAGCTTCGCTTCTTCCGGAGAGTGGAAAGCCGATAAAGTTTTTAGTGCTATGGTAAAACAGTAAGCAGTCGATCTTGTCGCTTTTAAAAAGAGCAAAGATGCATTTTTATTTATTTTTTGCCTTCCACATGTTCCTTGCATAAGTAGTCTCAATAAATTCCATCATTTCTATTCGCATCACTCTCCTTTCCCCGCTTCACTAAATTTATAATTCTATTGGTCTGTGCAGTGTTAATAATGTTGAAAAAAATTTTCGAAGTATTTAAAACAAAAATACTAAAATTTGACCTTTCCATACATCACGAAGGCGTTGTTTGACTTTTTCCTCTTCTTCATTAAGAAGCAGACGCGGTACTTCCACTTGGTCTGAGCCATAATTCGCACCTGGCATCGCACGTCCATTTTCCAACTTAACCGTTTCAACATTTACCTTAAACAGTTTTCATTTTTATGCGTTTTTGCACCCTTATTCGATTGCAAAAAGGTATATTGACGAAAGATTACCGGTGAGCGCGTAGGCATTTGCATGTATGTGTGTGTGTGTGTGTGTATGTGTGTGTGTATTCGCACTTTTGTCGCTCACTTTCAACTCAGCAACCAGGGATGTTGGAAAGTTGAAACTTTTTGGGCATATTTTCACCTTATGCGCGATGCCTCATTTTCGAAATCATTGTTTGTACGTCTAAGTTTCAAGTACAGATGCTTAAAAGACCACGCAATTTTTCGACGGAAAAGTGATTTTGAAAACAAATAAGATAGACAAGACAGGAAGTTAAAATTTCTGAGCAGTGTTCTCAGTCCGGTTGTGAGCTAAGGATTTCAATTTCAGCTTAAACGCACACTCGCGCCGCATCTACGAAGACATCAAAGTTGAGACTGAGATACCAACGTTGGCAAAATGCCAAGTTGAGAATTAAGCTGACTAGAGCGCTCTGATTTTATGGGAATATTTGTTTTCCATACAAGGGCATATAGACGCAAAATGAGCTTCGGCGTCTACCGGTGCCGCGTGCTTGAATGCGTCAGCGATATTTGTAACGAAAAGCGATTTCCCCAACCACTCATGCTAGGGAGCAGAAATTTCGTAAAGATATTCTGCGCCCATATACAACAGAAGTATTCGAAATTGAACTTTAAAGCACATAAGTCGTGCTTGTGCGCATGTGAAAGTTTGGTTTGAGACACTGTTGGCACTCAATTAACTACTTGGCAATCGGGCTAAATAGGAAGCAGGATGTTTGCTATTCATGTACGAGTTTTTGCCTAGAAATGAGCCCTGC